GGTTAAAAAGTATATATTCAAATATGTACACTGAAAAAAATGATTTCTACAAAATTGTTGCAAACACCTTGTATGGATCAAATTTAAACAAACAAATTTAGTAATCTTCATCTGAATTTGTTAGTGTAAATTCATCCCAAATAAATTGGTTACAACCAGTTGACATAAAATTATTAAATCCAAGAAATCATCTTTGAATATTTTTTTCAGTGTACTTATTCATATTTGAATGATTTCTCTTTATTTTGAACTTCTGGGCAAATGTTTAAAAGTTAGGGGTGTCACGATTTCGATTTTTAATCGAAATCGATCGAAATTTATGCTCCATTTCGATTATCAAATAAAAAAATAGAATCGTCGATGCTGCCACGCCCCCATGTCACATCAGCTTGGCTTGCCAAGCGGGAAAAAACAGGCTTGTTGAAGTGCTCGTTAAACTGCAGAAGCAGGAGACCCGTCGACAGAACTTAAACCCTCTCCTCTTTCAATGAAGTCGCCGGTGTGTAAGCATTTTGGATTTCCAGTGAGTTATGTTGACAACGTTCGTGTTGTCGACAAAAAAAAAAACACAGTTTTGCAAGCTCTGTTATGTACGTATTGCGTACGGTTCGTCCGATAGACAACACCGGCATTGCGATCCTCCGCCCGCCCCCGTTGCAAATCCGCTCGCGAAAAGTACACACTCAGGCCCTGTTTACACTGTCTTTGTTTTTAAATGGCATTTTAGAACGACAACGATTTGACATACACAGTGGCATGTAGCATTTCTGAGCAGCCCTCCTTCCTCTCTACCTCTGACAATGCACATCACGTGACCACACAGACACAGATGCACACACAGCGGGTCTAGGCAGTCAGAGGACTGCTTCAATCTTTCACTCATGCCTAGTTCACACTAGAGGATTTTAAGCCTGATTTGAGCCCGATTTGGAAGTTAACGAGCTCGCCGAGAGATCGGGCTGTGATCTGGAAGAAATCTGCGGGTGCTCGGCGCTCTTTATGTGTTATGTGTTATCTTTATGCTCTTTACGCGTCGCCGACACCTCACAGACGGAAATCCAACATTCAGCATGCTAAATATTCCAGAGCAGTCGGCCGACTCAACCCCACGTGTGGTCAGATGTAGTGACGAGCTACAGCCAATGAGAGAGCATATCAGCATGAGCTGAATGGCTGTGTGTTCAGGAGCTCAGCAGAAACATCTATGATTGGTCAGAATGGGCATCAGTGCACTCGCTTCATTCTGCGTTAGCACAGACATGAGAGTAGGCTATATTAACAGTGGAACTAGAATTCTGTAACTATTAGAATTACCATACAGCTCATTCTGATCGTTCTCATATAAAACGCCATATTGTCACAACATATTTACATTCAAAGCTTTTATTGAGATATTAAAATTAAGCTTTGAATGTCTGGCATCATATTTAATGACACTATTACCCTAAAAATATAATCTTTTTTTGGTAATACAGCCTATAAATATGTAGTTAAGATACTAAAACACTTAAAGGTCTTAGCTTTTATTTTCACTTTCAAACAGGAGCTATTTCACAGCATATAATATGCTGTTTTGAAAGATATCTGAAGTAAATTGATGTTTTTGCCATCAGAAAGTTTTGTTTATGTTAGCAGGAAATTGCTAGGCAAGAAAATGCACACATATTTAAAGTCACAGTGAAAAGTATCAGACATACATGCAGTCATTTTAACCAATATGGTAATTTAAGGCAGAAATGCTCAGTTCTTTACTGTTTTGTAATAAAAAAAAATAACAGTGTCAGAAAGAAATACACTGATAGTTAGAAAACGGCAGGGTGTTATAAATATGTTAGTTTTATTTCAAAGAGTTATACAATTACAAAAATTAAAAACTCTGTGTATCTATCCACTGGAACCTGCAGATCAGTGATTAATCCGCTGATAAATCAGCTGATTTGACGATGTTTTTAAATGCTTTCTCCAAAGCTTGAAACGTTGTCAGTGATGTAATCAGCACACAAGCAGCCAATAGTGTTCGGCTTTTTCTGATGACTCCTCCCTCAAAATTTCATTGGCTGTGGTTTGGTAGCTTGAATGAGCTGATGGGGAATGAGTTGTTGTCAGATCATGTAGTGTGTGACCCCCCTCTTGTGGATCGTTCACAGAGTGTTGCGTAGTGTGAACACCTCAGAGATTAAAAGACACAAAGTCAAGTCATGTAGTGTGAACAGCACAGCGATCTGCTGATGTTTAAAATCCTGTAGTGTGAACTAGGCTTCACTTGTACTTAGTCATTTTAGCGAACACCTCAGATACTGTTGGCTGGTTCCTGTTAGTTTTGCATCTTTTTTACCGACGCCATTATAACGACACAGATCACTGCCTATTCACGAGTCCCGCAGAAAAAAGTGATTGACAGGTGGTAATTATGAGTGTAACTTGCCTTTATTCATTTACTGTATGATTTGTTTATGGGTAAAACAAAGACCATGCAGGTCAGGTAGTTTAAACAGTAGGCTACAAATAATTAATTGGTCATCAATTAATTAATTATTCATAATCAAAAATCGAATCGAATCGTGCCGTTAGAATCGAAAATGTAATCGAATCGAGGATTTGGAAGATCGTGACACCCTTATTAAAAGTGCAGAAATATTTTGTAAATATATATAAATGAAATAGAAAATGCTTTATTAAAAAACTTTTGAGGCACAATCTACAATATCCGTAAATAAAATTCAAAATCTAAACATTGTATTGCAAGCCTTTTCATCATTTTTTTAATGTATTTTTTCCCCTCACTGAATATTATTAGCTGATGAACATCAATGTAAGAAGAACAAGTCAACTAGTGACTTGGTTCATCCCAGTTCATGTACTTATGCACTATTATTTAATATAGCGGTATAAGACTTCCATGTTGAATGACAAAATAACCATATAAAGCTCAAATATGATTGAGTGGTTGAACGCATTGGGAAAAACATCATCTTTACGAATGGTTGATTGATTCATCGAATTAACAGAAGAAATATCATGGTCACTTTGAGGTGGCTAAAGCAAGGATTTAAATTAATAATACACATGCTATGATCTTCCACCTTTTTACATTTTTTAAATGTGATTTTTGGCATATTTGTGAGTGTATTTGTCCATTAAAGAGAAACATGACATGCAAAAGACAACTTAGTTTGCAGACTGAAGTGATTCACACTATACACAATGCAAGTTGATTCTGAGCGTGAGGTGCCATCAGGTAAAGAAAATATCATCATTTCATTAATAAATCATGTAGAAGGTTAAAAGAAAAGAGAGACCTCTTCTGTAGGGTAAACATATGGAAGAATCAATAAGAAAATGTACAATTACAGAACACTTAAATTGTTGTAGAATGTCAATCTTGTTTTGTTGTAGCATAGTTTGAACTCTTTTTGTTTTTTCTTTCGATATGTTTGTTGCAGGAAAATGCACAATGAAGTTCGCCAACACATGAGAGAAAAAGGAGATGGACCCTGGTTCCAAATTCCTACGATTGATAAGGAGCTCATCGACAACAGCATCAAGTCAACCCCTGATAATTAGGAGGGTTCATGTAGACCTGTCCAAAATATTCAGGCATTATACAATGTATAATGTTATGTTATTATTAGAAATGTCTTTTCCTTTTTCTTTGCCTCGGGCACTAATAAACTAATTATTATAAGTGACTGCTATTGTGTATTGTTTAAGTTGTTGCCGTTTACCCCAAAACGGAAATTCTGTCATCGCTATTCATTTTAATCTGTTCAGTACAGAATTTATCGCAGTATGGCAGCAGACCAACTGGAAACCTATACAGACATTGTTTATTGATCTTGGATATGGAATGAAATGCTAATGAGTCCACTTATGGTCATTTTTTTTGTGAAAGAGTAACCTATTTTTAAATATTTAATTAGTTTGCTTTTACAGCCAAGCACACACGAGAAAAAATGGAATCAAAGTATTACTAAAATATTTGTTTTAATACAAATGTTCAAAATTGGAGTAAAAAAAAAATTAAAGCATTCACATGATTGCAAATAAACAAATAGCCACTAAACATTTTGGGATTATTTTCTCTCTCTCTTTTTTTTTTTTTCTTTTGCAGTCAGGTCCCACTAGAATCAGAAGCCACCTTCCATAATACCCATTATTATAGTAATGTGCTCATTCATTGGAATAATTTTGTTTGGTTCATAAACTCTTCCAATCAGTGAAGAAAATAAAACGGCTAACACTTGTTGTCTAAAACATCAATTTCAACATGTGTTTTACATAATATGTCACTCATTACAGAATTGTGGGTTTTTTTTAAGCATTATTCATAAATTTTCCTTAAACTGGAAATTTGACAGCAAATGTATAATTTACAATACACTCAATCAATTATTGATTTGAAATTATGCAAAATGATAAATACGAAAAATTGATGTGTCATGCAACTCTTCATATATTTTTTTTGTTTTGGAAAAAGTAGGTTTAACTTGGAGACGCAAAATGTAGGCTACCCTCTCTTTTATAATCACCCATATGTAGGTTATACCATAGCATAGGTTGATAACTAAATATCGTTGACACAAACTGTAAAATTGATCATACAATTAATTTCTTTCATGGAAAACTATAAAAAATAAATTACATCAAAAACAAACAAACAACAAAACAAAACAAGCAATTAAACAGCACTACAGCTTGACGCATGTGGCGCTATTTTGATTTCTAAAATAAACGCATCAAACGCAGTGTGTGCAGTTCTGAAAACGCCACCGTTTGGCGTCAGGGTGAATAATGTCAAATACCGAATATTTCTCGAAGGGGACACCCATTGTTTTCCCACTCCTGCACACCCCCCTCCACCCACCTTCATCTTTGCATGTCTCAATGTTTTCGTCGTCACATCCCAGTGTCGGTCCATGAGGAATGTCGGGTCTGTGTGATTTAAAAATAGCCCGATCTCCTCTTCAGCCTGACACGCTGCTCCGCCGAGGCTGAGGCTCACAGTGGTGCGAGCAGCAGGAATGTGAAGATGGCTACAGATCTGGGAGAGCTGCTGGTCCCGTACATGCCCACCATTAGAGTACCGAGGACAGGAGACAGGGTTTTCAAGAGCGAGTGCGCTTTTTCCTACGACTCTCCTGTGAGTATCGCGTCAAATACTTCCATGCATGAGCGTTAAACAACAACTGGCGTCCCTCAAACACGTGAAAAAACTGCATTATAACGATTAGAAGAGAGAAACTGGGGATCATCAGCCACCATTCTCCCGCTAAACTTATGTGACAGCCTTCAGAATTAAATAAATAACACACGGGTGTTTACATCTTACAGCGGGAGCAGGTTCGCCTCATATAAATGGCGTTATACCGTACGAGATTCTCATACATAATGGTAATTAGCTACATAAACACTGAAAGTCTGCTAAACCGCTGGATTACGTTATTTTTTGTCATGTTTTGAAGGCGTGTCAGAGCAATAGTTTTGCATTCGACATCCTCCCATCCACATGTAGTCGCCTAGTGTTGTACTTGTTGAGAGATAGTTCACCCAAACAGCAAAATTTTGTCTATCATTTTCTTGTTTCCAACCTTTATGGGCTTTCTTCTGTTAAACACAAGAAATAGCTGGGCTATATTTTGAAGAATGTTTGAAACCTGTAACCACTGACTTCCATTGTATTGTTTCCTACAATAAAAGTCAGTGGTTACACGTTTTCGTCATTAAATATTGTCTTTTGTGTTAAATCCAAGAAAGAAACTCATAAAGGTTTGAAACTACTTGAGGGTGAGTAAATAGTGAGTACATTTTAATTTATCCTATATTTATTTTTATTTTTTAATTTTAATAATCCTTTATGTCTGTACATTATTACACATCATTTTTTTGTTATTAAGGGACAACGCCAGATAAAGCTTGATTAATAAATGTAAAAACTGAGATTTCCTAAATGTAAATTCAAAAGCACATAAGCATGTCCCACACACAACCTATAAAAAGAATCCAGGTCAACTTGGGTTGTTGTACTGGAGTGAACACACACTGTCCACAAATTATGTGTAATAGCATATAATTTGTAGAACGCTATGAACTTTTTCATAAATGTGTACAACTGTCTCTCAGCTGTAAAAGTTTTAAAGGTGACTCAGCTGTTTGGAGTTCATCATGTCAGACTAAAAGACAGGTTATTTTTACACACTATCTGTTGAAGCTCGTGTGTCACTAGGAGCAAGTGACAGGTTTTTCAGTCTGGTGGCCCCTCAACACCCTAACCAACACACACCGCCACTTTATCACAGTGTTTTGATTCAGAATTTTCTCAGAAAGGTTTGACTATTATTTATGATTGTTTTATATTGTGTAAAAGTAAGATTGTAAAATGAACAAAACTTTCGTTGACTAAGCAAAATAACATAAACAAAACATAACACAAAAAAACAAACCATATGCCGTTATATTATTATGTGAATAATCTTAATAACCACCCAAAAGTGGCTGCATATAACAAGAAAAGCAATGCTGTTGCAATATAGACTACATGTGTAAAGGCTTTTAATGCTTCTGGTCACCAGTGCTCTTTCATTTGATCAAAAATATAATAAAAATGTATATTGTGAACTATATTATAATTTGAAACAATTGTTTCTGTGTAAACTTAGTTTAAAATGTAATTTAATTTCTGTTATTCAATATTGAGCTTTCAGTATCAAAACTCCAGTCTTCAGTGTCATTCTAATATTTTTGCTTGCCGTTATGAATTGTTAAAGTTCTTCATATTATCTGTTATTGTTTCATAATTTGGTAACATTATTTTTACTTTTTAGCATTCTTTAATGAATAGAAAGTAAAAAAAATAAAAAAATAACAGGATTTATTTAAAAGAAAATGTTTGGTAATATGTGACATTTACGCACTTTGATTAATATTATGAGTTAATTGTAATTGTATGGCATTATAGCACAGTTTGTATGAAAATATGAAGTAGTAGAACTGTTTTGAACACTGATAATAATCATGAACAAATCATCATATTAATAAGTGAATGCTTTGTGAGCTGAAGAGATTTCTTTCAGAAACAGTTTACCAATCTTTATGTAGGTAGCATAAACCTGATGAAGCATTATTATCATGTCCAACAACAGAATTGGAGAACTTTCAGAAACTTTGTTATTGCAGTAGTAATTTAAAGGCATACTTCCCCCAAAACTGACAATTATTTTATCAGTAACTCAGCATTCACTTATCACAACCTGTTTGAGGTTGAACACAAAACATTTTGATATTTTGAAAAATGTTCTGGAAACCAGAAAATCGTTGACTTCCATATAATTTTTTTTTCTTGACTAACTCTTTGAATCCTTAAGTAAAAGGCACACATGTTTGGACACTGTTGAACACTTTTGTCTTTTTATAACCCATAATTGTATGTTAATGTCCATATTTTGTATTTCCAATACATGTCAGATACATGACAAATTTCAGTGCAGTTTGTGAAAAGAAGGTGTCTTGCTCTTTGAGATTTTGCCCTATAAAAGCGGTTATATATTCACACAGTGTGTCTGTTAATGTAACCAACTAATAAAACACACTGGCACACATTTTATTGCTTTAGAATTAAAAGGTTCTGTCCTCGTTCTGAATTATTTTAAGATATTGAGCTTCAAAGTTTTTGCATTCCATATAGCAAACAATATGTGTGTAATGGTTCTTTTTCATACATAAATATGACAGAGACCCCAAAAGTGCACTAAATGTAAATGATCAAAGTTCTCTTAAATTTGCAAGTTGGGGTAAAACAAACAGGTCAAATGCAGGTTGAGTCTTCTAATTCTAAAAAGTCATTCTCTGCTTGGATTTAAAAGGTTCTGTCTGTCAGATAATTAATTGAAGCATTACTTTTTAAGAAATACAATCAGCCTGCTTATTAATTTAATAATAATAAAAACAAAATTGGTGTTGTAACAATATGTTGATGTTTGAGAGTTGCTCTCTAAAACATTTATTTAATGTTTATTTGTTGTTCAAATTAAGCATATAAGGATGTGTTTAATATGTCATCCAGTGCAGCTGTTAATTTAATTTAATTAAAATGAATGACATAGTTTATATTAATTATTGAATTATATTTATTTATTTGCTCTTCAAAGCTTCAAGGCAAATTTAAAGACTTTAAAAGAAAACAGACAATGAACAAATGAGTTTAATTCATGATTCATGATTGGTCTTCGTGCTTGCATTCGAAATGCTGTTGGCTCACAGAAGTGCTGAATGGTCTCACAGAGAGCTAAAGGCTCTACCCTATAGAGCCAAGCTAGAGTTCGACTTTGTAGATAAAACCTTTTTTATTTTTTAAACAAAAAGTCTTAAAATGTAAACAACATATACAAAAACAGCACGTAAATAAGTTAGAAGAATCTATGAATAACTCAATTTTGACAAAAATGTCAGATAGAACCTGATAATTCTAAACAATTTGACTTAACTTTATTCTGGTTTCATTATTTCTCTAGGAATCAGAAGGTGGTCTGTATGTGTGTATGAACTCATTCCTGGGTTTTGGAAGAGAACACGTGGAGAGACATTACCGTAAAACTGGACAGAGTGTGTACATGCACTTAAAGCGGCATGTTAAAGAGGTAAGAACATCAACATATGGCTTGTTATGCACTATAAAAGGAAGTATACACTCAAGCAAAAGTGGTTTAAGGTTTAATATAGGTCAAATCTTGATGAAGAACTTTTATTGGGCTGTTTGTTTACTGTAATTTTGACTCACATCGTTGCTAATTCAGTGCATGCATAATGTTCATTACTGATAACAACAAAACTGGAAACATTAATATAAATAAAAAATCTTATCTTGCAAATTTTCTTTTTTTCAGAACAAGCAAGAGTCTTGTTAGGTCAAGGTTGAAACTGCGTGAAGTAGATTAAAATATTTTGAGCTAAAACAAATCTACAAAACAAAATTTACATTCATAGCATAAAGCGTTTTAAATATTATTGATTTGATTTATTTGACATGGACATTTACACTGTACCATTACACTGGACATCCATATGTATTTGTTTAAGTGCAAACTAATCAAAATTACAGTACATTTAAAAAAAAAACTTGGGCTGTGTAGGTTGAAACGCAGCAACTAATGCTTATTTCGATTTTTAATCATTATTTCTTTATTCAGATTTTCTTTAAATATGAATATATATTTTAGTAATATATAAATACATTATTATAAAAATATGATTACACTTGTGTGAGTAGACTTTGTGATTAAACACTATTTCAAATGGGTTTCTTGTTTCTATTTTTATTTGAAAGTCACTGGACTACAAATGAAACTCTAAAAATAAAAGCACAGACAGAATTTTAAACAGCTGTGTTAAATAGGAGGAACACACATTTACTGAATTTATTATATTTATATTGCATAATTTTCATTTGGCCTAATTCAGTTACATGCATCACATGTGCAATGCACCCCCTCCCCCCAACCACAGTGTTTATATGAAAGTCATTGTAGGTTATTATTTAGTTTTTGGTATTACTGATTAGCTGTTGCTGCCTTAAATAGATAGTTCACCCAAAAATGAAAATATCCTGTTAATTTACTCACCCACAACAAGTCATCCAAGGTGACTTTTTTATTTTCAGTAGAACATTAAAAAAGATTTTAAGCTGAATTTGTGGTCCTTGGTGATTTTTATAATGTTAGTGAATGGTTCAATTAGATAAAAAATAAAAACATACAAACGACTCCAAATCAATAGCCATGTCTCCTGATGACACGCTGAGGGCTTGTAAAGCGAAATGATTAGTCTTGGTAGGAAACCAAGGACCATGGATTGTTCTAAAAATCTTTTATGATCGTCTACTGAAGAAATAAAGTCAACTGGCGGTTGGATGACTTCTTGGTGATTAAATTAAGAGGAAATGATCATTGTGGGGTGAACAATTTCTTTAATATTGACAGTAGCTTATTAAAATCACTTTTTTTAGATTTGTTTCCCCACACTTCTTTCACAAACTTCCAAAAATGCTGACAAATTCAATTTAGCAGGCTGGGGCTGACTTTTGGATTTGAAAGCAGCTTAGAGTATGGAAGTGACCTGAGAGCAGGTGTAATGTTAAGGTTTAAGGTGTTAGCTGCGACAGAACAAATTTATATGCTGAAAATGCTTGTTGTGTAAGATGCTGTTTAACGTCCAGCACATTATATTTATATTTTATAAAAAGAAATCACTCTTCATAAAGATATTTCAGAGGTGTTTTTACCTGCATCTTTCTTGAGTTTTAAAGATAAGGTATATTTGTGTACTGGATTGCATCATGATAAAGAAATATTTGGCCATTTACAGGGAATACAGTCAATTTGTTTTGTGCTTTTACAAATTGAGGGAACTATAAGATTTTTTTTTCACATATTGATGTTTATAAAATATTTTTTTTGTTAGGGCTGTACAATATATCATTTTAGCATCGATATCACTGTGTAATCATTCACAATAGTCACATCGCAGGATATGCAATGTTGAGTCTATATTATAGTTTATAATTTGTATATGATACTGAGTCCTGTGACCATATTATGACTTAGGCTTAATAAGTTGTGACATTTGTAAATATAATATTGAATAATTTATTGAATAATTTTTTATTTTATTGTTCAGTTACTGTACCTGAATACTGTTAAAGTCAGAAAAATGATAGAACACTCTTTATTAATTTCTTAATTAATAAAGAACTCTATTTTAGTATATTTATGATTGTTTTATATTGTGTAAATGTAAAATAGATTTTTTTGTAGAATGAACAAAACTTTCTGATTTAAATAACATAACAAAATAACTTATGCATAAACAAAGCATAATGCAAACAAGCCATATGCCGTTATATGTTTACGTGAATAATCTAACCCAAAAGTGGCTGCTTATAACATTAAAAGCAATGCTGTTGCAATATAGATAATCTATTAATTGTTTTTTTTATTTTAATTGTGTTTATATATATACAGTTGATGTCAGAATTGTTGCCCCCCCTCCACATTTGAATTTGTTTTCCTTTTTAAATATTTCCCAAACGATATTTAAAAGAGCAAAGAAGCTTTATATGTGATAATATTTTTTCTTCTGAAGAAAGTCTTATTTGTTTTACTTTGGCTAGAATAAAAGCAGTTTTTAATAAAAAAAAACATTTTTAGGTCAAACTTATTAGCCCCTTTAATCGATATTTTTTTCGATAGTCTAGTTTTTGTTTCAATACTTTGCCTAATTACCCTAACCTGTCTAGTTAAGTGTATTCACCTTGTTAAGCCTTTAAATGTCACTTTATGCTGTATTGAAATGTCTTGTAAATATTCTAGTCAAATATTATTTACTGTCATCATAGCAAAGATAAAATAAATCAGTTATTAGAAATGAGTTATTAAAACTATATGTAGAAATGTGCTAAAAAAGTTCTATCCCTTAAACATAAATTGGGAAAAAAATAACCGGGGGCTAATAATTGAGGGGGGCTAATAAATCTGACTTCAACTGTATAAATATATAAATGTAGATTGTTTATTTGATTTTATGCAGATGCTCTACCCTAAAAAATCATCATAATCAATTTAAAATGATTGATTCTTTTCAATTTGAGATATTTAAGTCATCTGGTAAAATTGTATTTACATTGCAAATATATCGCATAATTACAAATACTGCAATGTTAGATTTTTTCCAATATCGTGCAGCCCTATTTATTAAACACAGAAAACTTGTTAAACAAGAAAAGCATCTGCTTTAGTCTTCTAAATAACTTTTGTTGAAATAAAATATGGGTGACAATGTTTCATCATTACTGAGTGAATCAGATATGATCATGTAATATGAATGAAACAACATGCTTATTCTGACTTGTACATATTTAAATTTAAAAAAAGAATAAAATATCACAACATATTTAGTAATATTATTGTGTGCAAACCCCAGTGGTTTGAAAGATACCACCGATTGAAACTTAGCCAAAGATTGAAACTCAACACAAAGTCTCTTTTATTGTCATCAAACGATTTCTGTTCTAAATATGCTAGACCAGATTTTTTTTATAAACTGTTATACCAAATTATATCTTAGTGGGTGTCTTTAAAAAAAATACTAAAATGTATCATTACTTTTTTACTCTGTAAAATTAAATATTTATAATTATAATGCAATAAAGAAGCTAAAGCTCTTTTTACACTTCTTTTGTTTTGATGCATAAATTACCCATTTCATCTTTGACCAAAATATATAGCATGGCAAATAAAAAACATGGAACTCACACACGATTTAAAACATAGTTTTGATTTGGTTTGCCACTAGTTATGTGCTTAATGTAATATTAATTGATTTGAAATCATCATGCTGCTATCTGCATGTCTGGATCTGCAGAAACAGCTGGCCCTGTTCTCCTTGTGTTCTACTTGGGGTTACATGAGTGTGTCAGCATTATCAATGTAGCCCTATTTACTCCACAGTCAACTGATTTTACCACCATATTCTTTGCACGGAACAATCAGTCTCTCATCTGTAAAGCTTTCCTGTGTGCATGAATTGAATCCAGTCCAATCCCAACATATTTTAGCATTTGTTTGTGCTACATAGAAACGTTTTTAAGGTTGCATATTACTTTATTACCCATGTTGTTTCTTGATGTTCATTACAGAAAGCCACAGGTGCTGCAGGGGGTGCCATACCAAGAAGGAGGAATGGAAAAGTATTTTTAGGTAAGTCTGTTTTCAAGTAAAACGCCTAACACAGTCCTTTTGAAATAAGTCTCAGATTTGTATGTTTAGCAGTCTCAGTCATTACCGTCCGGGGCTATATTAATCTAATTTATTTGTATACGCAGTTAGTAACCATTCTAAATCTAAAGTGCCACATGCTTGCCCTGGCCTAATCTTCTGCTATGGAGGGTTGGTTTACAGTGGCTGGCTGTGCCTGTCAGCTGCTGTGCCCTATCAAGCCCTCATGCTGACACACTTCTGCCATTGGCGGTGTGACGTAGCAGTTGGAGGAACTGACAGCCTTGAATTCTTATGCGTCCAATCAATATAAACGCCTCCTTTCTTTGTTTGAGGACGATACGTCAGAGCAGATGCCAGTCATTTTGTGAACCTGCAATGCTTTGCCAATTGTGTCATTTAGACAACTCTGTCTGAAGGATAGTATGTCTGCCCTGTTCACTGTGGCTTGGAGCACAAACAAGTATAATTGGATGTTTACTTCATGCAGTCACTTAATTAAACCGGCAATGTTTCACACTAAATGCACAGTTAAAAAAAAAAAAAGAAAATTTATAATTGAGGCTGCACAATACTGAAAACATTTAGTCTGCCTGCGATTATATATTGTGATATGTATTCAATTTCCGCAGATGGCTTAAATAGCTCTATTTTAAAAGACTTACTTCATTTGAATTGATTGGGGTAATTCTGTAGCAGTGGATTGAATCATGCATTAAATAAAATAAACAAACTGCAAGCACAGATAAATACAAATCGAGGGTTTCTGGAGAGTTGAACAGTATTCAGGTACAGAAACCCAGCAATTAAATGTAAAATAATAGTTTTCATTGCATGAATAATTAATTATTAGTGAATTAAAGTTACGAATAGTAGTTTTTGTACCTAAATGCTTTTATCATTCTTGAAATTCTAACATATTCACAGCTCTCAAGACCACACCACATGCACATGAGAAATATTTACTTCATTATGGTTAAACTCAGCAGAAACCCCATACATCCATGAACTGTGGCGCTGATCAATAATAAAAAAATTGTGATATATTTTTATATACTCACCCTCTGAAGTGTGCGAATTATACGTTGACTATCAGGAGGGTCAGCTTTTTTCGATATTGTTAGTTTGTGTAATACGTACACTACCTGTCAAAAGTTTGGGGACAGTATGATTTTTAAATATTTAAAATAAGCTTATCCTGCTCACCAAAGCTGCATTTATTTAACCAAAAATACAGTACAAACTTTGTAATGTTATTGCACTATAAATTAACTGTTCAAAAGTAGTTTATACTTTAATTTAATAATTTATTCCAGTGATTTTAAAGATGATTTTTCAGCTTCATTTCTCTAGTCTTTCGAGTCACATGGTCCTTCAGAAATCACTCTAATATAAATTATTGTTATTATAATAATAATTATTATTATTAATGGTAATATAATAAAAGCAATAATGACTGGACTAATATTTTCATTTAAAATACATACAATAAGTAATAAATATATATATATATAGTGTACCTATATACTTCATTTAATTCGGTTACATCTCCTTTCATAATCTAACTTATCTACGTGTGTTTCAGTGTTTTGAGGAATAGGGAGTGAATAATAAATAAAGGGTGACAAGTTTGCATTTCTGTACCAGTACATGGTTGATTATGAAAGATTGCACTTTTTGTTTGACTGTTTTACTGTCTTTTTAAATCCAAATCATGAGTCTATATTTAACTTACTTTAAGGCTTTAAACACCTATTTTAAAAGAAAAGTAGCTTATGAACACTTACGTGTCCACCACAGGCTAGATCTGCTGTAATTCACACCTAGCCTCTCAGGCCATCCAAGATGTGGGTGATTTCATTTTTAATCTTCAGCTGATCATTGAAGATGGTTTTTAATTGAAACTTTATTTTTTGGTGATGGTGATTGTTCATTATAATGTTTCTGGCTTTATGCATACTCTATTTATATTATGTATGTACCATTTTGATTCTAGATGATATAGGAGAGGTCAAGCAAGGTCCACTTGTGATTAAAGGACTTTAGAGTTATTTTACAGTATTTACTAAACCATTCATAATGTCATTTAGCAGTAAGTTAATCAAATAATTTCTAATGAAACTGTTATTAAGCCAGTAACACAAGCTGTTGCATTACCGTGGTTAAAAAATTAATTTCTATTACTTAACAAATGCATGTTATTCGAGCAAAATTTGAACAAAACCACAGATAAACAGATTTGTGTGGTGTTTATATTTGTAATGTCTATTTAATATAGTTGCATATGGGCTTGTTCTTTAGGTTTAGTTCATATATCTTTCAAGTTTGTGTTGTTATTTAAAATGGTCAGATTATTTTCTACCTAAAATATTTGGATTTATTCAGGTTTTGTCATAATTATAATTGTCATCATTTGAATAAGTTGAGGATTGTATTGTAGTAGTAACTGTCACATGGATCTCTGCAATCTTTTATAATTTATACCATTATAATGGTTTTGTTTGTTCCTTTTTCACTCAATTCTGATTCTGTCTAGTTGTTTTGTATTGTGCACTTTAAGACGAGGTTTACAAATCCATGTAATAAACAAGGTTACCTGTGGTACAGGACAGATTTCAGATATACAGATTTCCAACATTTGATAAATAAAAGGTAATGATAATGCCAATAATGCCCAGTTTATTGTACAGGCTCATTATTTCATGTCATAAGCCCTCTGTGTATTATCAGGAGCCACACTAATTAATGTTGTATTACCATTATAGGTTTTTTGCTTCTAAAAGTGCTCTTTGGTTTGAGAATATTTGGTGAACTCTTTTCATATGGTGAGGCAACAGCATTCATATAGTATTAGGGGTTGGGATTTTAATATTTGTTTATTTACATTTAGAAGTCTAGTGTATGTTTTTTTTATACAAGTGCAATCATGTGAAACAAATGACCAAAATCAATCAAGGAAATAAAAGACTTGGGGTTCAAAAATGCGATCAAAAGATGTTGTTTGATTAAGACAGTTAGTCTGCATGGTGGATGAAGATGATGTTTTTAATAGCGAGGGCCGCAATGAAAACAAGCCGAGAGCTTTATTGTGTTTTTATCCTCTACGTTATTTTTTTTTCAAAACGTATGGGATACTTGTATTTTTGTACGGTTTTTCCAAAATCTGTCAAATAAAAAAATTCGAATCAATCGAAGAAAATTTAAAGAATCACCAATGACCTCATTTTTTTTTTTTTGCTACAAGTCTTCTTTAATGATCTACTGAAGAAAAACCGTTGCTAAACTTACTTGTCATGGCATCTATGTAATGCTGCTCTCTGGTGATTTGAAGTGCTTTTTTAAATTACGATTTGTAAGTCACTTTGGATAAAAGTATCTGGTAAATGTAAAATGTAATGTTAAAATGTACATTCTTGAATGGCCTGAGAGTAAAGGCCGGTTTATACTTCTGCGTCAAGTGATCGTCATGACCCACAGCTTCTGCATGCTGTTTGTGTTGCTCTGCAATAACACTTCTGAATAACTAGCTGGCATTTGGCTTTTACGTTCTTCTGTGTCAAGTTTCCTCACGGGTGTTTTGTTTTTTCTGAATGCTGCCTTAATGTAAAAGTAGCTTAAACTCGCTCATTCAGACGCAGAACCGGCAGACGTGCAACAACTTTAATCATAAGGTAAACACAAAACGTCTGGAGCTTTTTCATGGCACTCAGCACTTTTAAACACTCGCTCAATTGGGCTCACGCTGTCAGCATCGTCCACACTCGTCACAGCTACCAAGCCAACCAATCACAAAGCTTGCGCTATGCGTCGTTGCAACATGTAGTTACATTTTAATAGAGGTGTGCGTCAGCGTTGCCGTCAGGCAAAAAGCTGTGCCGGACCATACATGTGCGCTTGATGCAGAAGTATAAATCAGCCCTAACACACTGTAAAAAGCTATTGGTTGACTTCACTTAAAAAGTTTCTTTAAAATTAAGTAAATCAACTATGTGCAAAATAAAAAAGTTCAGTCAACTTTAAGGGATAGTTCATCAAATAATTTAAATGCCTACAAGTTTGATTATTTTTATTCTGTTGAACACAAAAAAAAAATATGTTGAAGAAAGCTGGAAACCTGTAAGCCATTGACTAGTAAATTTGCATGATTTCAGTACTCTTCTCCTATACATTTTGTGTCTGAGAGGCTCAAATGCCTTTGTCAGCTGCAAAAAACATCAAATATCCACATCTTTTAATTGCTATTTTGTTCACTGCGTGTCATCAGGAAATCCTAATAGGTGTTTTTAAATGACAAAAAGGGAAATGCTAAGTTTTATTTGATTGTGTACATTTTGTGCAATACCATTATCGGTTTCTTAATACATTTTTTGATCATTCTAAGCACTTGTTGTGAGTGTGGTTATCTCATCAGCTCCATAATACAAATAACTCTCTTTGCCTCCTTTTTCTGAAGATTTAGAGCTTAACCGTGATTTTAACGGGGATGATTATGAGTATGAAGATGAAGCCAAGCTTGTCATATTTCCAGACCACTATGAGATCCCTCTACCAAATATTGAGGAGTTGCCTGCACTGGTTAGTGAAAGTGTGTGCTCATGCACCATTTGTGCCCTGCATGCCAAAGGCCTAATCTGCCATTTCAGTTTCAGTGCTTGCTTGTCATTACATTTTATTCTGTCAGCAGATGACCTTGTAGTTTATGTGCTCACTGTTCATCTTTCTCATTGTGTGGTGTGATGTCATGTTGTGTTGCAGTGATTTAAGTTTTCTTTTTTACGCTCACTTCTAATGTGTTGTACACTAGTAAAAACAGCTTTAATTTCAAAACAAGTTTATTTCCAATTGGATCTGAATTACTGTAAGCAGTATAGTTTAAAGGAAAATGTTCAGTTTTATCTGGCTGTTTATGTTGTATTGTGAGAAATGTATGCATTCATTAAATTTATTTTCGGCTTAGTCCCTTTATTAATCTGGGGTCGCTACAGCAGAATGACCCACCAACTTATCCAGCATAGGCTTTGCGCAGCGGATGTCCTTCCAGCTACAACCCATCACTGGGAAACATCCATACACACACACACACACACACACACACACACACACACACACACACACACACACACACACACACACACACTATGGTCAATTTAACCATACCCAATTCACCTGTACCACATGTCTTTGGACTTGTGGGGGAAACGGGAGCACACGGAGGAAACCCACACGAACACGGTGAAAACATGCAAACTCTACACAGAAATGCCAACTGACCCAGCCGAGATTCGAACCAGCAACCTTCTTGCTGTGAGGCAAACATGCTACCTACTGCACCACCGCGTCGCCATTTTGAAAAAATGTTTTTGAAAATAATAAGAGCAATATGAGCTTTTTTTTTTGTAAAGACAGAATTTTGTTATGATTTCTAGAGAGTAAAGTGGGGTAATAGCTAACATAATACAGATTTAAAATAAAAAAAGATTAAATATTACAGAATTAAAACAATTTAAACAAATAATTGTAGAATGTAAATAATTGAAATACACACTACAATTTGAGAAGATTAAAATTTTCTCAAAATTAGAAAAGTGGCTAATAGCTCACATCAAACATATATATTTGTTATAATTGATTGAACATTACAAAATGCAAAGTTATAGAAAATTTACTTGAAATACACACTACAGGTTGAAAAGTTTGATAAAAAATAGTGATTTTCTCTAAATAAACAGTACTTTAAAGTCTGCATTATTCATTTTAAATTAAATGTATATTTTTATTCAGCATGGTTACATTATATTAATCAAAAATGCAAAAAATATTTAACAATTTTCTATTGTCTACCAAGTGTTTTTTTCACCATGATTCTATAAACAATATAAATGATCGCTACAAATGATTAAAATAAAATTGTAATTGTTTTCAACATTAATAACAAAATGTGTTTATTTGACAACTAAATCAGAATATTGCAACAATTTCAGAATGAATATGTGACATTTAATCCCCAATAATAACTGCTGAAAATTCCCCTCTGCCACGTAGGAATCAATTTATTTTTTAAATATATTGCAGTACAAAATTGTTTACAATATTACTTCTTTAATGTATTCATGCTGTATAACTTTACTTATTCCAATTATATACCCAGTATCACACAAATACGCATTTTTGTTTTTGTAGACACTTGTAGTGTATAGTTACATTGCTTCTTTATTATATATTACTTAAATAGTCCGATGATGTATTTGGATGAATCCTGAATCCTGTCTTGTGAATGTAACTGTAAAAAAGTCTTGTTAATGTAGTTACAGTTGCAATCAGAAGTATTAAACTCACTTTGAATTTGTTTATCCTTTTTAAATATTAAATATCTTTTTGAAATATATAAATATAATTTTTGAATTTTAATGATATAATTAATGTAACTAAACTTTAAGCAGAATTTTCACAGTATATCTGATAATACTTTTTCTTCTGGAGTAAATTTTTTAAAACAATTTTAAGGACAAAATTATTAGCCCCTTCAAGCTATATATTTTTGATAGTCTACAGAACAAACCATCATTATACAATAACTTGCCTAATTACCCTAACAAGCCCAGTTAATCTAAATAACCTAGTTAAGCATTTAAATGTCACTTTAAGCTGTTTAAAAGTGTCTTAAAAATATGTAGTCAAATGTTATCTACTGTCATCATAGCAAAAATAAAATAAATTAGTTATTAGAAATTAGTCATTAAAACTATTATGTTTAGAAATGTGTTCTCTTCGATAAACAGATATTGGGGAAAAATAAACAGGGGCTAACAATTCAGAGGGGCTAATAATTCTGATTGCAACTGTAACTACATCCCTCATTAAGCTGTAATATCACATTAAGCAATGGATCAGCTGTAATATGATGTTCACATGTGCTTTAACTTTCAGGTGACAATAGCCTGTGACGCCGTCCTCAATGCTCCATCTCCATACAAAAAGCAGGAATCAGATTCATGGGAAGAGGAGATCCAAGTTTCTAGACATGCTAGAAGTCTAAGACAGCTTGATAATGGCGTTCGAATTCCTCCCAGGTTGGTCACAAGGGAACTCATATGAAGTCATATGGACTAACACTTTAGAGTCGAGACTGCTGGTGCTTTCTCCAGGTCACGGTTAAATCTGATATGTCTGCTATCCTCGCCAAGTGGAATAATATCAAAACAAGCTATTGCTGTTTGATGAAGTGCTGGAACTTATTAATACACACAGTAAAATGCATTGACATCTATGAGGCAATATGCACTGTTTGTTAACTACATTAAAGAGTAGTATGGATTTAAAACAAAATCCCAGCAGGATACTTTGTTTTTTTATTGGTCTGATTGGATATTGTATAATCTGTATGTCTTACTGTTGATCCAAAAAGAACTTCAAGCTATTAAACCATTGAGAAAGTCTATTTTGATGCCATACAATGTCTTTTTTAATAGTAATACTTTAGACCAGCCTCAAGACCATTTTTTGAACGTCTCTGTCTTATTCAGTCTGTTCAGTCTTGGTATCAGACTTGGAGAACTCAATAGTTTAAGACCAATCAAGACCACAGCTTCAGGCATATTAATAAACTGCAAAAGACTGTGATTTAACAGATGATAATTTGGGATTAAATTAATAAATTCATTAAAGTTACTTTAACATTATATTGCATTACAATAACTTACATCAATAATAATCGTAATCTTGTTTTTATACTGTATGACAAAATGTGATCAAATGAAAAAATATCACTCCTTTTTTTTCTCCAACAAATATGTACATGATTGCAAAAGATAAGAAGTTAGACGTAGGGCCCTATCATACACCCGCCGCAATGAGGCACAAGACGTGTTTGGTGCGTTTTGTTGCTATTTTCAGGCCAGCGCAACCCTAATTTTCCCATTTTGTGCCACATTGTTTAAATAGCAAATCCATTTGCACCACTTTGTGGACTCATGGGTGTTCTGGTCTATGAAGAAGGCGTGTTAAGGCACACTGTTAGCACGTTGCTATTTTGAGGAACTGCCTCGCCATGTAGCTGAAAGCAGGTTTAAAGTCCTGCGCAGAGCACGTTAGTTGTGCGCCTCACTTACGCATTGCTTAATACACGCAGCATGTAGTGCAATACATAAATATCTTTACAAATGAAAAAGAATTAAGGGATTAAAATATTTCAGAAGTTATTACTTTCTACGTAAATGTAAAAAACATCGCCTCCATGCTTTCTTCGTCTCTGTGTTTTTTTTCAGTTTATTCACAACAACTTGCTTTTGTATAAAGTTATTATTATTATTGTTATTATTATTTTTATTTGCATATTTATATTTGTTTTTTTAATAAAAACAAGCTGAGATTTATCCACCTGTTTTTGCTGGGATTTAGAACTGAATTTAGAAATAGTTTTGAAACAAATCATTGCCTTTAACAAACAAAATTAAATATGTAGGCTAATGGATGTCTTCAGTGAAGTGCGTACAACACTGTTTCCTTATCCACGAAAGAGAGAAAAAGAAAGAGAAAGTAAAGATGTCGTTTGGAAGAGGCTCGTTCTTTTTCCTCGCGCTGCAGATGGTCTGTTTAACGGTTTTCCTGCAAGTGAAGCATTCAGTTTTTCCAATTACAAAAACTGCCATGTGAACAGCAAATGCGCCATGGCGTGATGCAACTGACTCTTAAAGGGAATGAGAGATGAGACTCTGATTGGTTTATTCTCAAAACACACCCATACCTCATTAAGAAAATAAGCAAAACCCTGTTAGACCATGCGCTGAAGCATAGAGCGTATTTTTCTGTCCTTAAAATAGCAAAAGTGGATTCAGACATGCCCTTAATGCTTTTGCGTTATGTGCTTGAGACTTTGCACCTAGATCGTTAAGTTCCTATATAAATTAAATTTTGATCAAATAAATAATTTTTATTCGACTCAGATATTAGCTGATTTAATACACTCTTTTCTCTCAGGACAAAATAAAAACCTTGAACTTGTCATAGCATTTATATACTGCAGCTCTCTGTTTATAAGGAGTGCTTTTTTATTCTCATGTGTAAGTCGCTTTGAATAAAAGCATCTACTCAATGAGTAAAGCACTATAGCACTTATTCATTGTTGCTCTTATAGTTGTGTAAATTGCTCCCTTGTCCTCATTTGTAAGTCGCTTTGGATAAAAGCGTCTGCTAAATGACTAAATGTAAATGTAAATGTAAAGGTAAATAGTGGATGCTAATATTGTCAAAATTGTAAAGCTTTTTTCAGTGTCTCTTACACATACAGATACAGATGCCAATATCTAAAGAGCAGAGTGTGTAATATAATGATATATAAAAATATTACTGATTAATAAGGCTTATGGATCAGTTAGCAAGATTTGTTAAATAAACACTTGGGTAACACTTTATAATAATGACACTTTATGCATCATTTGTTAAGCATTAGCGAATAGTTAATTAACCATTTATAAAGCATTAATAATAGACATTAGTAAGCAGTTCATTACTACAGCTACAAATGCTGTGTTCTTGACTTAACATCACATGCATAGTGTGCTTGATTGCATTTTCCTACTTTGTTCATGACTCCTTTTTCATTACTAAGTTAAGTATTGCATTATTTACAAAGCGGTTATTTAGTTAGTGTTTTATAAGATAATTTAGAATGAGTAAGTAAATGATTAATAAACTATTGAAATTAACATTTATATATTTTATTTTTCCAACCATAAATTATTAGTTACTTCCGTATGTAGGTTAATAAATACTTTATTAACACAACTTTATTAATGCAGCAGTTTTGTGACCTAATCTAAAGTGAGGACTATTCATGCTTAAGAAATATATATATATTTGTAAAAAAATCTCATGTTAATGTTTTAATATAATATTTTAACTTTTTTTCATTTACAGCAATCACATTTTTTGCAATAGTTAATAAAAAAGTAAAGGAGATTACATTTTTTAATTATCAAAAAAATAGCAGCCAGTTGATTGGTCTAGCCAATTTATTTGTTGATGTGTTGAGTTAATCAGACATTGTCTGCACGAACGGAATACAGCATGTAGTCTGTGGATTATAGAGTAACAAAGCCTCACCTGCATCACCTGAACTGCAATACGAGCAGTTTCTGTCCTGTCTCACCATGTCTTCAATATGCTTTATGTCCTATTAGCGGATGGAAGTGTGCCAAGTGTGAAATGAGAGAGAACCTGTGGCTAAACCTGACGGATGGCTCTGTCCTCTGTGGGAAATGGTTCTTTGATGGGAGTGGAGGGAACGGACATGCCCTTGAGCACTACAGAGAAAGCAACTTTCCCCTGGCAGTTAAACTCAACACAATCACCCCAGATGGAGCAGGTAACTGTCTCTCCATGTCTGGTTTGTCTTTTTAGAAATATGTTGACCTACATATATAACACGCACACATATACTCACCGGCCACTTTATTAGGCACACCTTACTAGTACCAGGTTGGATCCCCTTTTGCTTTCAGAACTGCCTTAATATTTTGTGGCATAGATTCAACAAGGTACTGGAAATAATCCTATAGGATTTTGGTCCATATTGACATGATAGCATCACGCAGTTGCTGCAGATTTGTTGGCTGCACATCCATGATGTGAATCTTTTGTTCCACCAAAGGTGCACTATTGGATTGAGATTTGGTGACTGTAGAGGCCATTTGAGTACAGTGAACTCATTGTCATTTTCAAGAAACCAGTCTTGAAATGCTTCATGCTTTATGACACGGCATTTAATCCTTTTGGAAGTAGCCATCAGAAGATGGGCACAATGTGTTCATAAAGCGATGGACTTGGTTTGCAACAATACTCAGGTAGGCTGTGGCGTTGACACGATGCTCAGTTGGTAGTAATGGGCACAAAGTGTGCCAAGAAAATATCCCCCATACCATTACACCACTACCACAAGCCTGAACTGTTGATACAAGGCAGTTTGAAATTCTGACCCTACCATCCAAATGTCGCAGTAGAAATCGAGACTCATCAGACCAGGCAACATTTTTCCAATCTTCTGTTGACCAATTTTGGTGAGCCTTAGCAAATTGTAGCCTTAGTTTCCTGTTCTTATCTGACAGGAGTGGCACTCGGTGTGGTCTCCTGCTGCTGTAGCCCATCCGCCTTAAGGTTTGACATGTTGTGCTTTTCAGAGATGATTTTCTGCACACCTTGGGAGTGGTTATTTGAGTTACTGTTGCCTTTCTATCAGCTGGAGCTAGTCTAGCCATTCTCCTCTGACCTCTGGCATCAACAAGGCATTTGCGCCCACAGAACTGTCGCTCACTGGATATTTTCTCTTTTTCGGATCATTCTCTGTAAACCCTAGAGAAGGTTTTGCGTGAAGATCTCAGTAGATCAGCAGTTTCTGAAATACTCATCTGGCACCAACAACCATGCCATATTCAAAGTCTCTTAAATCCCTTTTCTGCTCCATTCTGATGCTCAGTTTGAATCACCTTGACCGTGTCTACATGCCTAAATGCATTGAATTGCTGCCATGTGATTGGCTTATTAGACATTTGCATTAACAAGCAGTTGGACCTAATAAAGTGGCTGGTGAGTGTATATTAAAAATTAGCAAAAACTGCTAATTCTGTCATCATTTACTCACCTTTTGTTTGTTTCTGTTTTTTTTTTTTTTTGCAGATATTTATTCCTTTGATGAAGAAGAAGCAGTGCTTGATCCTCACATATCTGAACATTTATTACATTTCGGAATTGATATGCTACAAATGCAAAGGGTATGTTTTATTTTTTTATTTACAAATTGTTCAAAATCAAATGATATTTAAAACTATGTAAAGATACGTAAAGAGTATTAATCACAATTTTTAAAAGTTCTTAAATGTAAATTTTTATTTTCATAACTGGTTATTCTTTTGATCATTCCTTTGCGTAATTGCTTAACTGGATGATAATCCAAGTGGTATTAATTATTAACATTTACACATTTTTTTAAAAACAGTTCATTAAAAGTTCATTTTTAAAATGTTGATCCACATTCTGTTTACTGTTATCTTTAATACAGTGAAACCTGAAGGCTAAGACTACAAATATGTCAAATGTAACTATGCTATGGTATATATTATGTGTAGAGTTGGGTAGATTACACCTGATTACAAGTACTTTCATTTTAAAATCTTATTACATAATCCGGAATGCATATAATCTGTTACTATCCAGCACTGATTATGAAGCTCTGATAAAATATGAACATAAGCCAGTAAAGTATACTTGCAATGTACTGTTTCCTTTTTTAAAATGATTGTGAACATTTTTACAGACAATCTCACATTTTCACTGAATCACAGGATTTTTATTAACATAGCTCATATTGACATGAGCAGAGTGTATGAGAATGTACAAAATGATATTACAAATTTATAGTTCAGTTATTAACTAGGCACTATTTCAGTAAAAGAGGTTGTGTCAGTTATATTATGTGTGTATTATTTATACACATGTTTTGCAATTAATAAAAAATGGAACTATAATCTAACAAAACAACTTAAGATTAAGGTCCAAAAATTAGTTCACCCAGTTAAATATTTTGGGAAAAAATCTTAAATAAAAAATGTATAAACAGAAGAAAAATAACATAAAAATATTACATTTAGTTGTAGTTTGTAAATTTTTATTTGCTTATTCCTAAAGATGACCAAACAATTTTTAATAGAAATAACTGTTTGATAAAATTGATTTATTTAAATGCACCAAAATTACTGACTAAGAATAATAAATTAATACAAATTATACATATTCAAAAATGCATGTTCTCATTTATGCTCAGCAGGTGTGTGTAGTGATAAAGCAAAATCAAGCTACGTTCTCTGTTTTCAACCTTTTGGATTGTTCTTGTGCTTACCTTCCAGACAGAGAATGGCCATCATACAGACAACCACGTTCAACCGCGTATCAGTGACTGGGAAGTGATTCAGGAGGCAGGTCTAAAGTTAAAGCCTGTCTATGGTTCAGGATATACAGGCATCAAAAACCTGGGCAACAGCTGCTACCTGAGCACCACTATGCAAGTGCTTTTCAGTATTCCAGAGTTCCAGAGAGCGTGAGTACATTCAAGCTTCCTACATACTCCTACCATTGTGTTGAGTTTTATTTATGACAAAACCTGCTTTACTACAGTTTGATTTGTGTGTGTGTGTGTGTGTGTGTGTGTGTGTGTGTGTGTGTGCATGTTTGTGTGAAATATCGGGAGACAAATTTGTATAATAAAAAGTGTATGACACTGATATACAAGGAGAAAGTGACTTATGAGGACATTACCCATGTCTATATTTTTCAATAGGCTTATAAATCATAAACAATGATATTTTTATTTTATTTGAGAAAGTAAAAATGCTCACAGTTTGCTGTGAGGGTTGGGTTTAGGGATAGGGTGATGGAAAATACAGTTCGTACAGAATAAAAATAATGTTAACAGACAGAATGTCCTCACAATTTACAAAAACAAGCATGTGTGTGTGCCAGACTCTAAACCATATTCAATCTATGGTTTTTACACATGTGCCTTTCTCGACAATATGTCATTGCATTCATTGTAGGTATGCTGGGAACCTACAGAGAATATTTGACTACTCACCCCTCGATCCAACTCAGGATTTCAACACACAGATGTAGGTGTTTTTGTCATGTAATTTTTATTGTCATTTTACATTTATTTATTTATTTATTTATATTTTTTTATTTTTAAAACTTCAATTTTTTTTAAAATTTCGCCTATAGTACTGTATAACATATTGCAATATTATGCCAAACTTTATTACCAGTAATATGAGTTTGATTGATAAAATTTTAAAATGTTAACAGCATTTGATATCTATCTTAAGTTTGCGTGATTCATACATGGCATCTAAATTGGTTATTTTCAAGGGCAAAACTTGGGCATGGACTTCTCTCAGGCCAATACTCTAAACCTCCAATGAAATCAGAACTTATTGAACAGGTGATGAAAGAAGAACACAAGGTATTTGACTTGGTCTGTCTTGTTGATATTTGGCTTAATTAAGTTGGCTCGTCTGTGGTTACAATTACAAGATTAGCAGTTGCAGCCTTTGGCATGTTTTTTTTTTTTTTTTGCATTTTTACACATATGACAGTCAGACAATCTTAAGGCCAATTTACACCAGGAATGGGCCGGTATGAGGTTTTGACAGTATGATAACCTTGGATAAAAATATCACGGTTTCACAGTACTGTAATTTCTGCTCAAAAATATATTATTTTAAGTGTCTGGGTAAAAAAATCCTACTTTTTTTCCACGTTGAACACAATATATTTTATTTTGAGAATCATTTAAGATATTTTGGAACAGTAAACATTTCTGGCTAAATAATTCAATTGAATCATTGACTTCTGCTGCTTTTTTTTTTCAAAATTTAAAACAACGCCATCTTTGGATTTGTTTTCTGCTGGAGATACTGTTCTACTAAAGCACGGGTGTCAAACTCAGTTCCAAAAGGGCCGCAGCTCTGCACAGTTTAGTTCCAACCCTAATTAAACACACCTGAGCAAACTAATTAAGTCCTTCAGGCTTGTTTGAAACCTACAGGTAAATGTGTTGGAGCAGGGTTGGAACTAAACTGTGCAGGGCTTCGGCCCTCCAGGAATTGAGTTTGACACCCCTGTACTAAAGATACTGTCCTAAAAAAACTAGAAAAAAAAATGGAAATAAAAAATCTTACAAATACCTTGGGAACGGTATGGCAGAAAACTTTTTTTAACCGTAGTATACTTTGAAAACGGTTATTTACACTGCACCCAATAGCAACAGACAAGTGTTTTCACTGATTCAACTGGTTCTTACTGGGTTGCGTTTATGGTGTTTATGGTGTCTGACAGTTCAGTGTAAATTTGCTTTTATGGTTCTTGCATACGGACAATTATTTGAATTAACCTGGATGCCAATCATTAGGAATTTGAAGTGAAAACAGCATACAATAAAGTTGAGTAACGTTTATGGATGTTATGCAAACAAGCAATAACACAATGTGGCACCTACCTATGAAAGCTTTGTACTGCTGGAGATTAAAAAAAAAGCTTTACTCATAAGCTTACATCAAACAATTTTCAGTTTATACATCATAGCTGTGAGACATAGGCTAATTGCTAAAAAGCCAAGGCATTTTTTTCCCATGCAATTCTGCATTGAGATATATATGAAGAAAAGAAAGTTCTGTTCTGATTTTATAGTTTGTGAATTTATTTTATAGATATGTCTGCTTATATGGAATTTGTGTGTTTCTTACAAGTTTGAGTTTATATCTTAAAGTTAAAATTGTTGTAAGTTTATAATTAAACCACAAATTAAAAATTCTGAGGAAAAATCAGGATCGAGAGACCATGTTAACTCACAATTACATATTATGTTTTTGTATCTTGCATTGACTTTTTATTTTATCTTCATGCTGTATTTAAAAACAAAAGTTAGAGTTTTTCCTAAAGTTAGAGTTTTAAGAGTGGCCATTTAAGAGTGTTTAAGTATGCCACTCAACAGATTTAGTGATGCCATTTTACAGTGCAATTGGTGACCCTGAGCCTAGATGTATCATGTTGTTTTCTTCTTCTGCAGCAGCAGCAGCAAAGGGGGATTTCACCTAAGATGTTCAAAGCGCTGGTCAGTAAAGGACATCCAGAGTTCTCCTCAAATCGGCAACAAGATGCCCATGAATTCCTCTTGCACTTAATTAACCTGGTTGAGGTACGAATGCGCTTCTTTTGTTAAAATACAATGTTTTCTTGACCATCGTGATTATTTTGCATTTTTAAAAAATAATTTACCTGAGAAATGAAAAATCCTTCATATTCACCCACATGCCGCTCCAAACCCGTATGATTGTGTGTTAAAAGAGCAGCTTGAACATTTTTTGGTAAACAATTTCTTCTTTTGTTTGTCTCTTTTTGGAGAGACGTTTTCAGAGGGTTTCTAGGGTTTGGTTGGAATTTCCCCAGACATGTTTGTAGACTTTGAGTCTTGTCAGCAGGCTCTGGTTTCAGGAGACACATTCGACTGCACTCTGCTGGCAGACACACACTTGAAGTGACTTTCTCAACTGAGCTAAAATTAGACCCCCCATATCAGTTACACAGGACAGATAATGCTTCCTGTTACCCTCTGACTTGGTCTGTGGCCAGAATGAAAGCCATTGCTTGACACTTTTCCATGCCTGAAAAACAAACAACAGCAGAAGCTATGCCCTTAAACTGTTATATTCTAAGCTATAGTGTTGAAGTTTTCGAGAAACCCAATTTCTGAGCATATTTACTGAATGTACACACTGATTAGATTGTTCAAAATGACTGCTGTATGGCAGGTGCTTGGAGAGGAGGGGAGGGGATGGAAAATATAAGTGCTTGATGACATCAGCTCAATAGTAAAGTTTTCTGGGATGTAAGCAACATAGATGATTGTGGATGAAACAGAGTTTAGTAGAAATTATTTTCATGCCAAATTTTGGGATTGATAAGTTTTTAAGGTTTCCAAAAGAATTCGTTTTTGATTATTTGTTTCATATTGTGAAAGATTATTATTGTTTTAAAATGCAGTTTATTTTCGTGATATCAAAGCTTAATTTTCAGCATTCGGAAGAAAACAATTCTCTAATTATCAATCTAATGATCTAATAGTGAATCTGATGATTTAGCCCTATATGTTTTTCAGGATTATTCGATGATTAAACGGTATTCCCCTTGTTAAGTCGTGACATATCGGTGACCGATGGAGTACCAAGCCGTTACTTATTTGAAGTGAGAAAATATTCGTCTATGGCCACTTTTTAGTCCTATCACACATTGCAGTGAATTTTCTATAAAATCATGGTGTACACAACAGTCTCTGGACTTGCTGCATCACAAATACCAAAATGTTAACAATTAAAAAACAATAATGAATCACTTTCTGGCCATCGGATATTAGGCATGAATTTATACATTGTGATCTTGATTTTCGAAAGTATTACATCGCTTTGTAAATGTTTATTATTACCATTTGGTGGGTCTCCCCATACAGTTTGATGTTGCGCTTGGACCCAAAAGTCATTTTGCGTGACGTCACACTTAACAAGCGGATACTTTTTCTGAAGGGGTGTTCATAAGACTATCATGACACCTTTAAAATATGATGTGATAGGTCATGAATGTGAAGCAGATTCTTTGTATGCATGCAACTGTCATTGAAGGTGCTTTTACACTAGCACTTTTGGTCTGCACCCAGGTTCGTTTGACGTCAGAGAACTCGGGTGCATACCCATGAACTGTACCTAAGTCCACCTGAAAGAGGTGGGCTGAAGTACGGTTCATGCAAACTCTAGTCTGGTTTATTTCTGGTATGAATGCAATCGTACCAAATAACAGAAGTGAACCGCCGACAGTGCAACAAACAAATTGTTTTCATAACGTTCGTTTGTGTGTGTGTATGTGTTTGTCTATGTATCACATAATGTACTTTGGTGCCAAGCAGGATAATGTCTGCTTGTCTCCTCCATTAACAGCTTCTGCGGACATCGCGTTATGTTCTGAACATTTATAAAATTTTTGTGCCGGATGGACGCGAGTCACTTTCTGTATGTCCAAAACCAAAAGATACAGTAAAAGCAGAACGACTGCGATGTGTGGAGGTCTTTCCATTTTGGCGCTTTGCTTTTGTGGCTGTCACCTAGCAACAGCTGTACACACAACAGCAGCTCCATGACGCAAACGTACCAGGGTTCAGAAGTAAAAAAAACAGTGTGAACATAAACCAGCCGAGAAGGTGGTAAGGGGCGACGATCGAACTTGGGTTTGGACCAGGCAATTGAACCAAGTGTGAAAGCATCCTATTCGCTCAGTTGTCATTTTATATGCAAGGGTGACATTGTTTGAGGTGCTTTGTTATGACACCGTGGCAAATCAAAATACATCACAACCTGTCTTTGTCAAGACAGTTTTGGTGTTTTGATATTATCAAAACACCAAAACTTATCATAAATCTGTCATAAACATAATTGTCATGAGGCCATTATAATTGTGTCATGAATATTTTTCTGATTACTTTTTTCAGAGAAAAAGAATATGTCATCGTTTAAAATTTCTCAGTAACAGTGTCAATACTAATTTTAGAACAGTGCCATTAATATTTAATTACATTTTAATGCCAAATTCAATTTTTACCACTGTAGTTGAGGTCAACAAAAACTTTAATAACTCTGTTGTAAAATTCATGACTTAATTATAATGGTCTCATGACAGTCAAGTTTATGACAGATTAATACCATTATTTAAGATATAACATGATTTATGTTTTTTTGGTAATGTTGAATTGTGATGAAAAAGACAAAGGCAGGTTATGATGTATTTGTCTATGTCAAGTTATTAAAAAAGCATGTAAAACAATGCACTTAAAATAAAATAACTTATGATTATGATATTGATTATAAAGGTTTCATAACAGTCTTATGAACACTTCCATCAAAATAAAGTTTTACCAAATAGGCAATTAAAAAACAGCATTTATTTAAAATATGAATCATTTGTAAACATTTAATCCCTAAAAATATAACTTTTGATCAGTTTAATACATCCTTGCTGAATAAGTGTACTAATTAAAATATATATATATTTTGTTGACCTAATTAAAAAAAAATGTTTTGTGATAATACATCATTCATTACCATTGTAGCTGGATATAGTGTTAGAACATACACTAGAGACCAAAATTTCAAAGACACAATTGACACTTTTAAGCAAGTACACAGGAATCATTTTTAATAGAACAAACCATTGAAAACAGACATAAGAAGAAAAAGTGTCAATTTAATTTTTCCTGTTTATACAGAGCTTGATATGTTAGATTTTGTTTTAATGCGATACTATGAATCAAACCCTAATCTTTGGTGACATTTGCTTTGTTCTTGACAGTGCACATAAACTAAGAAGGTCAACTACATAAAACCAAGACAGAGCTATAGTCTCCTGAAATGTTTAGTGCTCAGAAATGTCGACTGGTTTATTTGTAGCAGTGCCTTCTGTGAAATAGCATCAGTCGTGTGAACAGTGAAGGGACCTTACAGTGCATTTCTGCATCCTCAGCAGGTTTGTTCTCTGCTCAGTGGTCTCTGGTGTCTCAGTCTTGGTATATTAAGGCTGGTATATTTCTGTATGAACCCAAAATAGCAAAACTGCTGTTCAATGACCTCGATGATCTTAATTAAATGCCAACTCTGTGTTGTACCTAAATATGTTTAAATGTTAATATATTGTTGAATTAGTTTTGCTATTTGTTTTTGTAGAACTGTTATCTATATGACCGTTATTCCGTTTTTGTATCTTTTTTTTGCTTATAGCCATTGCAAAACCTGCATTACCGTCTTTGTTCTGAATGTAAGGGAAAATTATGAAGAATGTTGATAATCAAACAGTTTCAGTCTTCAGTGAAAGTGCAACTATACAACTGTATGGTTAGTTAAAATCATTCTTAAAAAGATCTTCAATTAAAAGTTTAATTAAAAGTTCATTTAAAGAAAGAAAGTCAGGTTTGAAACAACATTAGTGTAAGTCGTGACCCAATTTTAATTTATGTGGAAAATTTTGGGCAATTGTGTTTCTGTAATGTGCCAGCAGGCACATAAAGTCAACGTGTTGTCAGATTGATGTTGTACTTGTACCCCACGATCATAGGGACATTACATTTTGTTTGGAAATGAAAATCAGGTTGACATCAGAACCCATCGTTGTCCAGGCCAACGTCCAACCTAAATTCAACTAAATATCAATGTTTAATGATGTCACAGCTTAATGGATTTTGGTTGACATACCTCACAAATAAGTGTCAGTATTTAACGTCAATAGGAGGTCTAAAGAGGGGTGTCAAACTCTGTTCCTGGTGGGCCACAGACCTGCACAGTGTTTTTCCAACCCTGCTTCAACACACTAAAGCTGCGGTCACACTGGACTTTTTTCCCCATAGACTTCCATTCATACGCACGCAAATGCGTCAGACCGGAAATGCAAGTTTGTGCGTCAAATTTTGCAGTTCACTGCGTTGCAAAGTTCAAGCTTGTTGAACTCTGACCTGCGAATTCGCATCACTTGACGGCGTGAGACCAATCAAGGATCAAAACATGACCTCTCTGGACAGAAATTTAAAACATAGACCAATCACTCACTTTTTTAAACATCTGTACGCGCTGTACGACAGAATTTCGCATGTTCAAACTCTAGTGTGACCACAGCTTTACTTGCAAGTTTCAAACAAGCCTGGAGGTCTCAATTAGTTTGATCAGGTGTGTTTATTTAGGGTTAGATCTAAACTGAGCTGCGACCCTTCAGGAACTGAGTTTGGCACCTGTGGTTTAAGGTGTTGACGTTGGATTATGGTCACTTTCCAACACAACCTAAAATCAACTAAATATCAACATCATTAGACTTTGTTAATGTCAAAATATAATGACGTCCAATAACGTCAAAATAATATCCAAAAACGTCAATATAATAAAATATTATCCTTAGACGCTGGCTAGACATTGAGTTTTTGTCACGTGACATCACAACCTAAATCTAACTTAATATTAATGTCTTACGACATTGTGTGCCTGCTAGGGTATTGAGCATTGTCCATCTTTAAATGTTTTTGATGATACAACAGAGCTTAATATGTGCCTTTTATGGAGCAGGAAAAATCAAAGGGATAGTTCATTCAAAAAAAAATTATTCTGTCATTATTTACCCATCTTCAACTCGTTCAAAACCTGTTTGAGTTTACCTTTCTTCTGTTGATCACAAAGGAAGATATAATGAAGAAATCTGGTGAGAAAAAAAACACCTATCGACTTGTGTGTTTATTTTATTCCTCTGATTATTTTTCTAAATATCTTGTTTTGTGGTTAACCGAAGAAAGAGATCCATAAAAGTTTAGAACCGCTTGAGGGTAGGGAAGTTTTATTTTTGGGTGAACTATACATTTAAGTGTAATGCTACCCACTTTGTTTCAAAGCCAATAATGGAGAACTTTCTATAGGTGATATTGTGTTTTGCTCTTTCCAGAGGAACAATTCAGGCTCTGAGAACCCCAGCGACGTGTTCAGATTTATTGTGGAGGAGCGAACACAGTGCTGTCAGTCGCAGAAGGTGCGATACACACAGCGAGTGGACTACCTTATGCAGCTTCCTGTGCCTTTAGAGGCAGCCAGCAACAGAGGTAATGACTTCAAAAAATTAAAAGAGCCCTTCCTACCTGATTCGACTCTGAACATTTTAAACCAAATGCAGTTAGGTCATATTGTTATGGAAAATAATATTATTGACTTGAATAAAAACTTTAAAGTTAAAATGATAGTTTAGCCAAAAATTTAACTTGGGTCATCATTTACTCACCATTGACTTGTTCCATATCTGTTGATCAAAAAAATATTTTAAAGAATGTTGCAAACTAATAGATTTTTTTTCTATGGATGTCAATAGTTACAGTTATTTTAAAATATCTTAATTTTGTGTTTAACTGATTTCAAGTCAAGGGTGACTATATGATGATAGAATTTTGGGGTGAACTATCACTTTAATATCAATGAATCCTGTGTGAATGTAAACCTGATGGTGTTTTATCTACATATGGTTTTGTTTGTACAGAGGAGCTAATAGCATATGAGGGTAAACGGAAGGAAGCCGAGGAGAACATGCGGCCCCTTCCAGAGGTGGTGAGAGCCAGAGTGCCTTTCACTGCCTGTCTGCAAGCCTTCACTGAGCCGGAGAATGTGCCAGACTTCTGGAGCTCTGCGCTGCAGGCCAAATCAGCCGGAGTGAAGTAAGCAAGGTTCTGGTTTTCAGACCTTCAAATGACTCGCAATTAATTCTCTTGAATTTAGAAGAAAATCAAAGTGTTTAGTTCAACAATAATTTTTATGATATTCAATATTTAAATTACATAATGTTATACAGTATATCTCCATGATTTGGAGCAGTGGTGTAATGGTACATGTATTGATATAGAAATAACCTTTTTTTTATCAATATTAATTTGAACATAACTATAAATAAATAAATAAAAATAAATAAATGTAATATAAATTTAGTAGACTAAAAGCCTGATCTTGGGATTTAGTCATTTATGCATGAATAAAACAAGACACACCACCTCTCAATAACTGCACAAAAGTTTTGTGTTTCATTCTGATGAGAATTCCAGCTATTTCTAGAAATCTGGATAATTTGACTCAGCTCAGTAAGAAGAAACCGTTTCTTAGATTAGTATAATTTCTGTCTTTTATACCCAGCAGGCACCTTGATAACAAAACATTATAAAAACACGTACAAAACAAACTGATTGGATGTCAATTTACTTCCTTGGTGTCAAAATGACATCAAATTGACATCTAACATTAATGTCAAAAAACATGTCAAAATCTATTAAAGGTTTTTTTTTTTGACACCATCATTAGATGTCTATTAGATGTCATTTTGACCTCAGGGCAGTTTGCATGCATTATAGGGAAAAATCGAGTATACATTTGTAATTTTAGTTTTCGGATGACTAAATTTTCAATGTGTTTTTACAGTTTAATGTGATATAAGCTCGATTTGACTATCTTTAAGTTTAATAACATATTTAGCATCATTTATTGTATTTTTCCCCACAAACGAGCTAGATGTAGTTCTTGTTTAAATGATATTTTCCTGTGAAAGTACTTTTTGGGTCTAACTGTCAACATGTAAAATCACAAAGTACAGTATCTACACCAGAACTGTGACTGACAGCCAACACACACAGCAAATATTAGATTCACCCACGCTGCAGAGACATGCTGATGCTCAATCCATGGGAAGAGTGTAATTCCGCAAATAACTGCAATTTCCCATTTCAAAGTCAACAGAGATACTGACAGAGACAAAACTTTCTGACTTCATCTTAAAGAGTTTACAGAAGTATATGACAGCAATAAAATGTACAGACTGAATGAGGAAGACAGTGACTGCTAATCCATGGAAATATCAATAATATTACAGTAAATTCAATTAAGTGTATAATTATTTTACTGTGAGTTGTTAGTTTGTCTATACTTTTTCTTCATCACTTTTAGCCAGTAATGTAAATATAGTGAATACCTGCACTAAAAGATTTTATTTTTCTCTCTCTTCAGGACTTCTCGTTTTGCAACTTTCCCAGAGTACATGATCGTGCAGCTAAAGAAGTTCACATTTGGTGTCGATTGGGTGCCTAAAAAGTTAGGTGTGTGCATAAACATGCTCTTGATTTGCTGTTGTGTTTTAATTTCTCATTGTTGTAGTCAGGGTGCGAATTATAAATTGACCATCGAGGGTAGTTTCTTTGTTAGTGTTAGTTTATGTAAAGCATCCTTCAGTAAACCAAATTTATATACTTAATTTAATTACAAATAATTTATTAATCATTTTATCTGTTTTTAGTGTTTTGACTTTGAGTGTATTCTGACTCTGATAGGCTATTTCAGCAGATGTGTGATTCTAAAAGATGGCCCATTTTTGATATAAAACACACAATGACAAGTTTGTAATCCTGCATTAATAAACGCATGACAATGAAGGATTACACTTATTATTTCACTGTTAACATTCATGTGTGAGCAGGTATGTTAAAATAGAAACAATGCATATAATTTTAGTTTTGCCTTTAGGTTATATGTAGATGCAAACACCTGTTTCACAAGAAAAGTGTCTTGTGAATAGGCATAGGACGATAATCGGTTTCAAGGTTTACCGCGGTTTGAAAAAGTTAAGATTTTAAAACCAATAACATTTTCTGTTATACTGTTCCTTCTGTATATATAAGTGTTTGTTGTTGTTTTTTAACATGTTTTTTTGACTATTTTATTTAGTTTTGTTTAGCTTATAAACTACCATCCAAGCATGCTATGGACCTACACAGTGCAGAGGCTTACTTTATATCCAAAGAAAAGAAAGATCTACTTATCACGAGGCCTTTTCAAGTTGTAAAGAAATCTGTTTTTGTAAATAATGAAGACAGCTGAAGTCATTCATTTAAATTCTTTAGTCTAACATGTTTACTGTTCAAAAATTGTATAAGTATATCCTAAAATAAAATATATTGTGTTTAATAGGGGGAAAAGTAGTTTTTTTAACCTATACATTTAAAAAGAGCATATTTTAGAGCAGTAATTACAATACCATGAAACCGTGATATTTTTAGCCAAGGTTATCATACTATCAGAATCTTATACCCTGCATGCTTACTTGTGAACACTTATGGTGTCCATTGGTGCTCTAGATCCAGCAGTTTCAGACTGCTAAATGAACATTTTCTCGCATAGGCTGCCTGGGGTGATTATGTATTCACAATGATATGAACCATTGCAGGGGTGGTCAAAGGTATATTTATAGTATCTGTTATTTGAATTAAATATTTATATAAATATTATTATTATAGGTATAGAGCAGAGCAAAATCAGTTTATCACTATTTAAAGAGCTGTTCTTTTATACATCTTTTGAGTCCTTAGAGGAAATTAAACTTTAATAAGGGAGGTCAACTCCCAACAAACCCCCTGTAATTTGCACCCTAGTTGTAGTTAAATCTACACTTTGTTATACTCATGTATGCACAAAATGTTGGATCAGTAGATGTTTGATTCCATGTGATTCTGGCTCCTGTTGAAGCAGATTTATTGATATGTCATGTTGTCATTTGTCAGCTGTGTCAGCCTATCACATGCCTTGTCTTGTGCAATTCACACCATCACATGTTATGCATGTTGAGCAATGGTCGTGATTGCTTGCATCAAAATAATATCAGTTTGCAAGGTGTGGTTTGCTCAGCAGAAGCTCTTCTGTTGTCCAGCAGAGGGTAGTCTAACACTGCTTTTGAACATGACAAATCTGGAGATTAGAGACCTGATTTCACATTCATTCATTCATTCATTTTCTTTTCGGCTTAGATATTTATTAATTAGGGGTCACCACAGTGGAATGAACTGCCAACTTATCCAGCATATGTTTTACGCAGCGAAAGCTATTCCAGCCGCAACCCATCACTGGGAAACACCCATACACACTCTTTTACACACATACACTGCAGTTAATTTAGCTTATTTAATTCACCCATAGTGCATGTCTTTGGACTGTGGAGGAAACTGGAGCCACATTTCACATCTAGTTATTTTACTATTTCATGCTCTCTTTTTCTTTTCTTGTGTTTTTTTTTTGTTACAGATATGTCAGTAGATGTACCTGATTTCTTGGATCTGAATCGCCTTAGAGCCACAGGTCTACAGGCTGGAGAAGAGGAATTGCCTGATCTTACACCTCCCATTGTCATTCCTGAAGACACCCGAGGTGAGAACCTGTAGACTTGAAGCCTGTGCTTTGGTTACGTTTTGAGCTGAAAAAAAGAAGCAATTTCATTCAGTAAGGATATATTAAATCTATCAAATATGCAAGTAAAGACTTGGCAATATGGCAGAATGTTGGCATAAATGTGTGTTTTAAATATGATTAATAAATAACATAAGAGATTTGCCTTTCATTTAGTCAGTTGAGAGAAAAGTTTAATTTACCCCATTCACTTTTTTATTTGCAAGTAAGTTACTATGTGAAATCTAAAATTTTGAATGTATGCCTGATAAACATGAGTTTTTTTTATGTCTTCTTGAACGCTCCCCAGTCTATTCATCTTATTTCAAATTTTGTTGAATTGTTTAACACCTTTGCCTCAACGTCTAATGAGAAATGTAAACTGGCTTGGGAGGATGAACTTGGAACTGAGATATCAGAGAACTATGGTATAAGTGCCTGACTACAGTACAGTCCTGTTCAGTAAACAGTAGGCACCAGTTCTAAGTTCAAAGTTATGCGTCGTCAGCACTATACCAAAACCAAATTACAAAAATTTTTCCCTCTAATTCACCTACAGTATGTGTGACAAGTGTCAAATTACAGAGGACACCACAGCTCTTTTGTTTTGGTTTTGCCTTGCTTTGTTCAGTTTTTGGACAAACATTTCTGATTTTTACTCCAAGGCCTATAATATTTCCCTCCAACCGGACACACAGCTTGCTATTTTTGGTGTTTCATAACACACCCTCACCAACATCTGCAACAAGCTCTTACTCTAGGCTTGACTGTGGCCAGGGGGCTAATACTAAAAAACTGGTAATCTCCTTTACCTCCTTCTTTTCGAACCTGGTTAATGGATATGGCCTCCGTTATCCACTTGGAAAGGCTCAGATTTATCAGGTCCATTTCCCACAAAAAAAATGTTGTGCTACCTGGGAACTCTTTCTTGGATACTTAGACCTGAAATGTGTTCTATCCAAATCCAGCATCTTTCATGGAAACTGACCGGCACACTACCTTATAGGACTTTTTGATGTCTACATACTGTGTAACACTACATTTTGTATCCCCAACAGCTGAACCCTCATGTAGGGCAATTCCTATATTTACCTGCAAATTGTGTATACTCTGAGACAATATTGCTTGTTTTTTCTGTTGTACTTAAAAAAACCTTAAAATAGAAGAATAAAAAAATAAAGAACATAAATATTGAATAGACTGTAAATCAATACATTTTAAATAGAAAAATATATATTCAGAGTAAATATAACAACAACGCAAAATTGACATTAATCAAAAAGGCAGCCTTGGTAAGAAATTTCTTTTTAAAAACAGCACAAAATTACTGAATCCAAATGTCAGAATGTAAAATAAAAACAATAATAATAAGATTACGTTTCATTTTTAAGTATTTTAAATTACAGTTAAAATAATTAGTACAATAAACTTGCTTAAATACTACACTAAACTTCAACATTTCTGTATAAAGTGATTCAGAAAAGCAGAGGAATTGTACTATTTGGTTATACAAATATATTTACTTATAAACTCAAGAACACTACATTTATCAAGTCAATTGCAAATGCTTAAGTAAAGCATAGTGTTGAGTCAATTTATTTAGCATTTAGTATTAAGTCAAGTTATTAAATTCCTTATTGCACAACTTTGTTGCTTTTCAGACAACGTAATTAGAAAAGTAATTGATATATAATTTAAATCATGTAATTAGTGATGAATTACTTTTTAAGTTGCTCACCTTACACAGATGTAATGTAATATGGAAACAAAATAGCATATTTAACCTTCCCTTTTCCTTAGTACTAATTCGTTCTTGTTTTTGCATACAGACAGTTCAACAAACAACTCTTTGGAATGTAAGTATCACTCTTTAAATATGCAGAATTCATTACATACGTGTAAAATGTATGAATGTGCTACATACCTATTCCATGAACAATATTAAAAGTATCTCTTTTAGTCAGTTAGTTTCTACAATAATTGACTTTAAACATAATCAGCATCTGCAATGTTAGTTATGAGTTGTTGAGTTGTTAATTTGAATCTTTAATTGTTCTTCAGCTCCAGAAATAGATGAATCATCTGTGATGCAGCTGGCAGAGATGGGCTTTCCTTTGGAAGCCTGTCGGAAGGCTGTGTACTATACTGGGAATATGGGAGCAGAGATGGCCTTTAACTGGATAATAGCACACATGGAGGAGCCAGGTAGGACATCGTATCTTGACTGAACCGACATGTTTTGAACAAAGGCATATCTTTTTATATTCTTAGCTTATTCCATATTTGAACATTACTTATAGAGAGACACTGTACTAAGTTTTTTCATGCACCTGTTAGTTTAGAAATGTTGGGCTTTTTTTTATATCTGAAAACGTTTTTTTATATCTGAAAAACACTTTGAAGTGTTTCTTTTGTCACACTTTATAGCTTTTTTGTTTGTATAATTCAATTACAATGCACAATTAAAAAAAATTTTTTTTTTTTAAAGATTTTCCTTCTTGCTTCATCCTTATCATCCTGAACTGAAGCAGCTAACATTAATTTACAATGAGGAAGGGTAGAGGGTTGCTGAATAACTGCTCAGAGATTTCTGCTGCTGTCTGGGCTATCACTGCTTTTCTACACCTCCCTTTTTCATGTGTTCAATACTTTTTCTGGGGTGACATGGTGGCTCAGTGATTATCACTGTCGGTGCGCAGCAAGAAGGTCACTGGTTCTAGCCCCGGCTGGGTCAGTTGGCGTTTTTGTGTAGAGTTTGCATGTTCTTCCAGTTTTCGTGTGGGTTTCCTCCGGGTGCTCTGGTTTCCCCCACAGTTCAAAGACATGTTCTGTAGGTGAATTGAACAAGCTAAATTGACCATAGTGTATGTGTGTGAATCCGAGAGTATGAGTGTTTCCAAGTACTGGGTTGTTGCTAGAAGGGCATCGTTTCGTAAAACATAATCTGGATAAGTTCATTCTACTGTGGTGACCACTGATGCAGTAATTAAAAAGACTAAGCCGAAGGAAAATGAATGAATATATTTTCCCTGTGCCATTTCATTTTATTACGCTATTATTAACTTGTAAACTAATTAGATTTGTTTTGTTTGCATATATAGATTTCCTTGGTTGTTACCAACATCCAAAAATTTCAAGTCAACGCCACTTTTAGAAATATGTTTTCTGAGAAAAATGGTAACGAGTTCAATGCTTATTTTCCCTGCTGTGTATATACAGTGTATATATATATATATATATATATATATATATATATATCATCCAAAATATATATATATATATATATATATATACACTTACCGCCACTTTATTAGGTACACCTTACTGGTACCGGGTTGGTCCCCCATTTGCCTTCAGAACTGCCTTAATCCTTTGTAGCATAGATTCAAAAAGGTACTGGAAATATTCTTCAAGATTTTGATCCTTATTGAAATGATATCATCAGATAGTAGTTGCACATCCATGATTCAAATTTCCCGTTCCACCACATCCCAGAGGTGCTCTATGTTGAAATATGGTGAGCCTGTGCGAATTGTATTCTCAATTACCTGTTCTTAGCTGACAGTAGTGGCACCTGCTGCTGCTGTAGCTCATCCGCCTCAAGGTTTAACAGATTGTGTATTTAGAGATGGTCTTCTACATACCTCGGTTGTAATGAAAAGTTATTCAAGTGACTGATCCTTTTCTATAAGCTCGAACTAGTCTGGGCATTCTGTTCTGACCTCCCGCATTAACAAGTCAGTTGATGTCATGTGATTGGCTGATTAGAAATTTATGTTAACGAGCAGTTGGACAGGTGTACCTAATAAAGTGGCCAATGAGCATATATATATAAAGATCAAATCAAGAATTTTATATGTAATTTATCTAATGTTCTGTTGCTAGAAACATATGCAGGTTAGTGCATTTTCTATTAAATAATATAAAATTTTCACATTAAAACATAATGTTTAAGAAAAATGGTAATTTGGAATCCTAATTATCCTAATATTATGTATTTTTTCACTTTTAACTACAGTGTTTTGCCTTAATAACAACAACAACAATAATGGTAGTCACTATTTGTATCATCAAAATATACAACCGAGACAGAAATAAATGCATGCTATCTTATTAGTCATTTTTGTAGGAAGTGCAGTGCTGAAGTGAGAGGGAAAGAGTAATTGAGCAGAAGACAGTGTCACCTAATTATATGCTGCCTTGAAAGGAAGACTTTCATTGTAGACATTTTAGAAATTTTAACTGGGATGAACTTGCTGTCCTTTGCATATAGAGCCTTCAAGTTGACAATTTTTCAAAACAATCTAGCATCACTTCAGTATTTGCTAAGGTGTCTCCAAAATGATTTTGCTGTGACCACAGATAATGCATTGAAAATCACTATCCAAAACAACAGCCGAAATCAAGCACTTGGCTAAATATTGCATTTATAATTTTTATGTCTATGTATTTAGGAGTGCTTATAGGTTCGCCCAAAAATAAAAATTGTAATAATTACTTGCTCTGATGTTGTTTCAATCCTCTGAGACCTTAGTTCTTCTTTGGAATACAAATGAAGATATTTTAAATGAAATAGGGTTCCTTTGCCATGCATTGACAGCAAAGGTCCCGAAACATTCAAAGTCCAGAAAAGCAACCAAAACATTACATGTGACTTCAGTGATTCAACTGTAAGCATTTAAAGCTCTAAATACTCTTTTGTACATCAAAAAACTGTAAAAACAACTTTGTTTGCCAATGTCTTTTGTATCAGGTTAAGGTGGATGTTTACTATTGGCAATACCATGTGTTTTAGAAAAATAATGTAATAAAGATGCAAAAGTTGTGTGCTAAAGTTTCATGTACGGTTGTGTAGAGGATTACTCATTTGTGAAAACTACAAAAAAAAAGCTGTATTATGTATGCCAGGCCAGAATGTAGCTCAGTATCTTGAGCATAACTGATTGACTGCTGTATAGTCCACCATTGTTGTTTTGTTTGTTGGCTAATCACGTATGCCTATGAGCTAGGATACATAACAAAGTGCACTTTAAAAACTTTTAAATTAAACCTAATTTATTATTATTATTTTTAACCAACTTTAAGACCCCAAAATATTGTCAGATACATGAATGGTCAAAATGTATGCAAACGTTTCTGTTTGAAAATGGCATAATTTTAATCTCACCCTAATATTAGACAATTTTGCAAACAAAATAAATAAATAAGAAATACAGTTTGATTTAAAGTTTTTCACATTGATAACAAGAATTTTCTCCTCCCTTAAAGCAGTGGTCCACTACAAAATCATATTTTAAACTTTAGTTGATGTGTAGTGTAGCTGTGTGAACAACATCTGAATGTAATACGCTCAAAGTTCAATGCAAAGGGAGACATTGGCTTTTACAGAGATAGCTTAGCAAAGCCTACTGTGAACAAAGTTTGGAGACTACAAAAAATACATGCGCTTTAATGAGATCACAAGCTTCTCAGGTTTCGCGCATTCACCACACACGTACACACCACTCAGCAAAGGGGCGTGGCCAGAGGCGCTATAATGTTACAGCAGAGAATTTCTGTATTTGGGCTTCCAGTGGACACAACACACAGAGAGAAGTGCTTACAATTTAATTTTAATTATGTTTCAGAGAATTATAAAAAAAGAAATAGCTTGCATTTGACAAAGGGCAGCTTCAAGAATCTTTCCGAATTCAGTGCTGGATGCGGCAAAAAAATTCTCAAAAAAGGAGCAGCTTCAACCATAATAGAAAAAGCTGTGGATTTTGAGCCACAACCTGTGAATATTTTTATTTGTTAAAATTTATTTATTACATGCACTGTTTCTAGCGTTAATGGTATGTTGTAGCAAGGAAATGCCGTTTGGCTCTGTTAACAATTTAGCTACAAATATTTGTATTCATATTTATATTAGAGGTGTGACACTTTTCCTGGTGACGTGTAGCCGATCTGCAAATCACAGCACATTATGATAGCGGACCAATCAGACCCTCTTGAGGGCGGACCTTTCAGAGGAACTAGGAAGTCGTTTTCATGTTAGCCGAGAAGCTGTATATAATTAATGTATGATATATGAAAAAAATATATGAAAAAAATAGACCCTGGACCACCCCTTTAAATAAAAGTTCAAGTTTATAATCTCAACTATGTACAAATAAATAGTTAATTGCATTTTTTTTCAGAAAAGACCTGACCTTTTATTATAGACCTGTTTAACAGAAACATTCATTCTTTCATTTTCTTTTTCGGCTTAGTCTATTTATTAATCTGGGGTCGCCACAGGGGAATGAACTGCCAATTTATCCATTATATGTTTTAAGCAGCGGATGCCCTTCCAGCTGCAACCCATCACTGGGAAGCACCCATGCACTCTCATTCACACACATACACTATGGACAGTTTTAGCTTACCCCATTCACCTGTACTGCAGGACAGTCTTTGGACTTGTGGGGGAAACCGGAGCACCCGGACGAAACCCACCGGAATGCAGGGAAAACATGCAAACTCTCCAACTGACCCATCCAAGACTCGAACCAGCGACCTTCTTGCTGTGAGGTGACAGCACTACGTACTGCACCACTGCGTCACCCTGAACAGAAACGTATTGTAACATTTCTGCATTCAAATTATATAAACTGCAAAAGTCTAGTGTAATATTTGCTGTCCATTATCTCAAAAAACATTTAGAATTGCATACTTTCATTGACTCCAAAGTATTTGTAAGTAAAGGTAATAAAAGTTCATCCAAAAATTAATATCTGCTAATTATTTACTCACATCACTTCAGTGCTTCGGTTCTGAACAATATATTCTGAAGAAAAATGCAGCCAATGACAGTAGAAACAAGAAAAATCTATTGAAGTCAATGGCTTTTTTTTTCTTCAACTTTCTTCAGTATGTCTTCCTTTATGTTTAACAAAAGAAATAAACGTAAACAGTCATGGAATAAGTTTAAGTTGAGCAAATAGCGAATTTTTCATCCAAATATGCAAATTAGATTTATGCACAAAACTAGAATATTGTATAAAAAATTGAAAATGAAGCACTTTTTCTATCCAAGAAGTCAAAGAGAACAAAATCGTCACCTCCTGATAAACTGGCATTAAATAACAAAGTTATATATAACAAAATAACAAATTATTCTTATGTAACTTAAGACTTGTGCCCCAGCTGATAAAGAGACTTTCTGAGAGGTAATAATACTCCAC